CGGCGTAGAAGGCGAGCCATTCGCGTTCTCGTCGTGGCGCTGGTCGCTGCTGGTCCATATCCCTTTGTTCGACGAGAAGGGCGGCGCAAAGGGCGGCCTCCGAGATGACCCCCTGCTGTCGGAGAAGCGCCTTGCAGGGCCGCCACTCTGGGCCGAGCCCTTGAAGCACGATGTTGACGAAGATTTCTTCCGAAATCGAGCTTCCCAACTTCGCGATTTGATCGCGAAGGCTCCGACAGCGATTGATGTAGCTGTTGACCTTCTCCCCTGAGGTCATCTTGGTCTCCAGTAACTGCTGGAGCAGCCGGCTCGAGGAGACAGAGTCCTTCGGCTGATACACATCGTTTAGGTGGCGCCAAGCGTCGAGGGCTGGAGCAGCCGATGTATTGTACGATCGGATGTTCAGCTACGCCGCCGGCGACATGTTGCGCAGGAAGATCCCGTACGCCATCAGGGACTCGTTGTAGTAGCGAGTCCTGGCGTCGTCTGTATCCTCAGCGGGTTCCGCGTAGCTCCCGTCGAAGTAATGGAAGATTTGGGCGTTCTGCGGCAAGAGCTCCAGTTCGAAGCTCCAGGTATAGAAATCTCTGCCGTCAAAACAAGTACTTGTCTTTATTTTTGATATGCTGAGAAACCTTGAATGTGCTGACAGAATTGCCTCTTCACTGGGACGGGGAGCCTTGGGGGTTGAGCCATTTGTGTCGAGGGAGAAAGTTTGCGGGACGGCGTTCTGCCCAGTTGGGGCCGGTTGAGATGGTTGCGAGGATGTTCCCGCATCGCCGTTCCGCAATGTTTGGAGCCCTTGCTCCAGGCTGGTGAGTCGCTGAAGAAGTTGTGCGAGGACTTCGGTGCCGATCGTCGTCGTTTCCTCGCTTGTCGCAGCCTGGTTGGGTTGCGCTTCAGTCGTCAGATTGGTCTAACCACCAGATCCTCTGGCCATTCTCACACGTGATCGTGTGCCGGACCCCACTTTCCGATTGTCGCAATTTTCGGGAGTGGCAATACGAAGGATTCCCGAGCTGCTCTCATACCATGCTGCGATCAACAGATGATCGCTGCCAGGATCTACTCGGGAAGATTTGCAGAGAGATAGTGTTGGTGGGCCCTTGACCTCAATAGCAGAGTGAATGTAAAATGCTTTGAGATGATTAAAACATGCAAATACAGCAAATATAAGTATCAGTACAGGGAAGACGAAACGACCTAGCTAGCCATGTACTCTAAGGGGTACATTCCCTTATTCAAATTCATTCCCAACCGTGCGGCGCGTACAGTTACGAAACTGTTCCCGCCAAAACCCTCCTGCCTGCAGCTGCCCGATGCCGTCTGCTCCGACGGTCCAGATGCATGCTAACTTTTTGACGTTTCGAGTCAATTCTGACTCTTCGCATTCGTTCTCGATACTGCATGCTTCCTTAGCTGCGGTCGGGAGTGCACTGTACTCTTCATTCATTACTATTCGTTACAAAATATATACGTAGATCTAGTTTAGATACATACATGATGACTACCATAATCGATTAACATACGAGCGGTATCATATTTGTTACTGCCATCCCTCTCTTGCAAATTATTGTTTTTCCCTTTCCTTTCCTTCCTAACTGTGCCCATGCTACTTTTTGAATTCCCTTCCAATCCTTCTTTCTTACAAACGTTATCCATATTGCACAAACCATTGGCATCGGGACCTGGGTTCATAATATAAACCAACGACATTCTGGAGCAATTAAAACCACTCTACATCCCTGTGCGCTTCGCACGAGCAATTTCGGCAGAGAAGGAAGGGGCGCTAGTAGATCTTCCAACTTCCATGTCAACGCAAGATATTGCCTCGTTCACGTGTGCTCCAAAGATCTCCTGTTTCATCTTCAGCAGCTCCCCCAGCACTTGATTCATGGAGGGGCGAAAGGCTGCAGGCATGGCGGTGCAGGAGAGGGCAAGGCGAGCCCAGCGCAGCACCAAGTCATCTGGTGCGTCCAAGTGAGGGTCCTTGAATGCCGGAACAGCTTCTGAGTCCACTAATGGGGTCATCTGTCAAGTTGAATGTGTATGGGACATGGATTTGGTAATACCGAAGATTCACAGGGCTTTAAGTAAAGAGAGAACCTGTGAAAAAATCTACAATGGTGGCAGCATAGAGAGGGATGGAACAATGTATGAATATAGGAATTTAGTGCTATTAAGCCAGAAAGTGTAATCATCGGAAGGTGAATCCTACAACATAAACAACGTGATGCTGAACTTTTAGTGTTCGTCTTTGTTACACTTGTCTTACTCATTGCAGCAAGTGTCCTGTTGTTAAAGGAGGCAAAGGGCACATGTGCTGGACTACATATGCCTTTGGCTGAGAGAAACAAGGAACCTTAACAAAATGCTACTAGCAAGAAAGCAAACTCACTTCCTTGTGCAGTTGGAATTCTCATGCCTCGTGTTGCAAGACTGCCAGCCTTGGTATGATCTGTGTCTCACTGTGTCTCACCCATTGTTTGAGTCTGGTTGTCCTCCTCTGTAACATGTACAGCCTTGCGCCCCGTGATAACCACCAGCATCACCATGCCAAAACTACAACCCAAACAATCAACAAAGGCATCAAGCTTGAAATCATGCTTGAATGTACAAATGTATGATAGTAAAACTGGTCGATTCATCCATTTCTCTGCCATTCCACAAGTGATTGTTACCCAAGCCCCTATATCAGGCAAACAACCATCACCATACTAGTGTGGTCAAACATACCTTGAACTGGCTTCAATAACATGCATGAACTTTCTCTGAGTATGAGGCAAAGGAAACGTGCAAAGTATTGCAAGCCCTTAACTTCAACAAACCCCCTAGAAAAAACGGAAACCGGAAACTCATGAACATTTCTCATACACTGAAAAGCTTGGGAAAACAGATTTGTCAAGCCAATGTGCTCATCTGCTGACCTTCCTGGTTTTCGCATGCCAATATGCTGAACCGCACACTTTTATCAACGTGAACCTATCTGCTCACTTGAGCCAATCTGCTCACTTGTACACATCTGATGCTGGAGTGGCCTCGTGGGTCCTGCTGTATACAGGGTCCACATAGCCCGGTGTTCCCACCACTCGAGTGGGAGCAACATCTGTGCCCATAGCGGTGCCCCCTGTGAGCTTCACCAGTCCAAAGTCTGCAATCTTGGCCTGTTCATTGACAAAAAACAGCAATGATGCACAACATGAGGAGCATGCTAGGCGATTCAAAACACCCCATGATAGTGGCAAATGGATGGATAATAATAGGCATCTTCCAACACGTACAAAGAGGCTCGGGACACCTTTGACATGCCTGCATTTTTGCGTCAAGGAGGATGTTGGCGGGCTTGATGTCTCTGTGCACAATGCGAAAGTCGTGAAGATACTGCAACCCCTTTGCCACTCCAATCAGAATGTCGAGCCGGTGTTGAAGCGAAAGAGGGTGGGAGACGCCAGGACCGATCCATTTCTCAAGGTCGTTGTTGGGCATGAGCTCGTAAACAAGGATTTGCTCCATGATTTGTGTGGAGGTCTATGTGGATGCAATATCCCAACAGACGCACGAGATGCGGGTGGTGCTTGCTTGCCATCTCTTTCACCTGATAGAAAAAAACAGTTAACAGATCAAAGAGATCGTTTAATTAAACTACCAGTTACGCCTGGAGTTGGCAGAAGAAACCAACAAGGAGCATGGCACTGACATATCAACGGAAACTCGCAACATATCAAATGAAACTCACAACACAATACCTCTCTCTGGAAGTCGTTGGTGAGCACTCGAGCTCGTTTCACTGCCCAAGCTTGATTGCTATCATGAGGCGACACGCCCCTGTAGACAACCCCAAAGCCCCCACCTCCTATCATGTTCTCCGCTGCCCACTCTCCTGTGGCCTGGGCCAGCTCTGCCAGAGAGTACTTTCGACACACATATGGCCGTGCTGCCGACATCTCTACCACAACACCATCACCCTGCCTCCCTTGTGCTGCTGCTAATGGTAGCGCTGCTGCTGCCGCAGCTGCCGCAGCTGCTGCAGCTGCTGCGGCTGCTGCGGCTTCCTCCTCTGCTGCTGCTGGATCCTGTTCCTCATCCTTTGGTCCTGGAAAGGTATGGGAGGGTTGGTGCAAGAGAAAGAGAAGATCGAGTCTGAAAGAAAAGTAGGGGCACAGGATCCCCAACCACATACTCTGGATTGACATTGAGCTAGGAAGGACCTGCAAGCACCATGGAAAAGAAGATGCTGGATGGGAATGTTTGCGAGAAGATGGATTCAGTCACATCTTTGACAAACATCTGTAACCGCTGTTTACATATACTGCCATGTCGACACATTAGCTATTTGGCTGTGTGATGTCATGGCTATGCAGTAAGACTCAAAATCATAGCCTGAGTCTTCATCCTTCCCCTTAAACCAAACCTGCCCAGTTTGACCTGAACTCAATAATCCGCACAAGGAACCAGGCAATTCACTCACTCACTAGTTTGACTCGAAAAATTTTCGCTTTGACCAAAGAAAATTTGAACCAATATGGACTTTGTCATTGTACCAATATAATTTCACATATAACTGGAGTCAAAATACAATGCCAGAAACTTCTGTGGGGCACCAGCAGGTAAGGGATAGTGCGCTGCACCACAAACATAGCGTTCAGGGGGGCAATTTTGAAACTCCAACCTAAAACTTATGAGTCAGGCCCAACCAAAAGAACGTCCTAAAGTATGCAAGGACATGGGCTTGTTTGAGATGAGAAGGAGCCCATTGGTTTCTTGCTTCTACACTTGGGAACTGATTTTCCGGTTTTGAAAATACTCAACATATATTTTTATAGCCTTGCGTTTGGATTGTGATTGCTTGATCTAGGCTGGGCGCCTACAGAAACACCTTACCTTGAAACATACTGTTATCTGCTGATTTCACGCCATCCACATTGGTGCTGGTATCGCCTCCCCGTGCTGCCCCTTTGGTGCGGCGTTGCTTGCACATAAGCCAATTGAACAACAGCAGCATGAGGACAGCCACAGCGCCAGCAACAGCAATGCCAGCAATGGCTCCACTGGATAAGCTGCCTCCAGACTGGGAGGGAGAGGTTGTAGGCTCACTAAGAGTTGACGTGGGAGGAGTTGGAGAGGGTGTGGGCACTGGTGATGGGGAGGGTGCTGGCGATGGGGAGGTTGTGGGCACTGGCAATGGGGAGGGTGTGGGCACTGGCAATGGGGAGGGTGCTGGCACTGGTGATGGGGAGGGTGCTGGCACTGGTGATGGGGAGGGTGCTGGCACTGGTGATGGGGAGGGTGCTGGCACTGGTGATGGGGAGGGTGCTGGCACTGGTGATGGGGAGGGTGCTGGCACTGGTGATGGGGAGGGTGCTGGCACTGGTGATGGGGAGGGTGCTGGCACTGGCGTTGGGGATGGTGCTGGTACTGGCGCTGGGGAGGGTACAATTATGCAATCAGACATGGTGACAACGGTGGTTCCGATGAAAGTGGTTGTGGGAACAGGGAGAGGAGGCAAAGGAAGGCAGTGAGATGTTGAAACCGGTATTCTTCAGTAAACCCACGAGGTGGCACTAATGGAAGTGCAAAAAATAACGTTACGAGGAGGAGTAACGCAGTACATGTGCCTAACACTGGGAAAGCTCGTTACGTAGGTGGCAAAGCGGTGTCTATGCACTCAGCACTGAAGAGAGCAAAGTAAATACTGGCAAAACAAGTTGCTGCCATGCCACCTGCGAAAGGAGCGCCTCACCTGGTGGTGGCATGACACATGTGGTGCAGAAGGAGACACACTGCCCACAGAAAGCACTTGAATCGGTCTGTGGGACCACGCAGCTGCTGTTGTCAGGAGGGCATGTGATTGCTGTCGAGGATATGTCCCTGCATGTTCACATGGAACGTTCTCAAACTATGCCACCTGGGATAAATACTTCAATAGAAATGCTCTGGGCTGGAGAGGAACACATTGCAATACTTTACCATGCCAGTCTGTTTGCTATGTTTGCAAGTTGAAAATACCAATAAAGCATACATTGTGTTTCTGTTGACTATAGAGAAGGGCCTGACATGGACAGCTCGGTACAATAGTTGTCAGGCTGGTGAGGATTGAGCCAGGCCATTCCAAGTCTAGCCCTTGGAACCTTGCTTACTTTCTACATGTGGCTGCAATAAAACTTGGGCTACTTTACGCAAGTGTAACACCTACCTAGTTTCCGTCTACACCTCCACTAGATGAGACGCTTCAAAGTTAGAGTGGTGTAAAGTACAACATGTTAATATGCGAAGATGCCTTACAGAATAACAAGACGAGTGGCATTGCCTATTGTTGGAGGGAGCTGGCCAGTGAGGTTGTTCGAATTGACATAACTGCAATGAAAATGACGGGTTTAGACAACGAGACCAAAGCAGTTCTATCATAATTCCTCATGGTGCATACATGCTAGAGATGTCACGTATACAGATACGGAGACACAAGCAATGAATCAGAAGGTCGCAGAAGGTAGGAGACATCAGGAGAGGAAGGTAAAAATGAATGATACTGTGGCATGAGCCGCATTTCCTATAACGTTTCCATAAACGTTTATCGACTGCAGCCACAATATTTAACCCCAGCAGCCAGAAGTTCCTAGCTGCTCCTCGCCTCTGTTCCTAGCAAGTGACTGTGCCATTCCTCCTTATGTGGAATTTGCAGTACCATAGGCAGAAGATTGCCTTGAACAAGGCTTCCAGCATCTTTAATCACCACAGCTGCTTGAACAACTTGCTATGAGGCTTCCGCGAGGAATTTATTGACAAAAAGCCTTGGTGACAATCATGTAGGGGTTGGGCGGATTTCAAATACTTGGACAACGTCAGTTAACTGCCGTATCTGTGTGCAGCTGGCAGATGGTGACAAGCAGCATCCGCAGCAGCATGCCTTGCATCCAGCACCGGCAGGTCAGCTGTGAGGGGCGTGCCCACTAGGCCATGAGGGGCGTGGCTTGTAATAGAGGTGGCTTAAAGGACGTTCGGACACTCACCAGTGACTGACTAGCACCTTCCACAACAGTATGCCTTGCATCCAGCACCGGCAGGTCAGCCGTGAGGGGCGTGCCCGCTCGGCCATGAGGGGCGTGCTTTGTAATCGAGGTGGCTTGTTTTAAAAGGCACGCCCCTCACTGCTGACCTGCCAGAACTGGACGTGAGGCATGCTGCTGCCAATTGGAATATGTGCTTATCCCATCTTGACCCGTTCATGCGTGACAGTTGAACCTGTGGACCAATCAGCTGCCCACTCTGCCAGTCGGCTCATTGTGGACTGAAACGACCCAGCTCGTCTGAAACTTATATGTCCATAGCTGTTTTTATGTGTAGGGATCTTGCAGGGGCCATAAACATTCCTAATGAAGGCAAATGCTGAAGGCATGATCGCACTGCCAAGATAGAGCTTGCATTAGTGCAGTAGACATAAATACCGGGCCGGACCAGGGCTGGACTGGTCGAGTCAGCCTATTAGCATACGTGCCAGACTAGTTGTATTACGAATCCAGCTTGCTGGTCTTGGTCCGGGTTTTTTTAGCGATTAGAGTTCATGTACTATGACTGGCCGTGTCTGGTCCGAGACGGGTTTGTTCCATGCCGTGTCCTTACAGATGAGACCAGCAATTTGGCAGGTTCATTTGGACTAATGGGTGGCTCCAGCCTGTCTCCTTGCTGTAGACCTCTGGCAGACTTGCTGCAAAACTGATGCGGCATGGTCCGCACCCCAGGCTGGGTCCTTGGTCAATGGCCTGGCTCAGTCCAGCGGCCTGGCCCTTTGCTCATGCCTAGCGTGTATTCTCATCTCTAATAATTCAATTTAATGTCACCATCGTCCCTCTTGTTCCTGAATCTGTGCGAGGTCATGTAGGGGCTGTTTCTTATTCCCTTGACGACACTCACATTGCAGTGAGATTGCTCAGACTGCCAATGGTGGATGGAATGGACCCACGCAGAGCGTTTTTTCTAAGAGACCTGATGGTAAAACATGCAAATGGTGTTATGGGTGGAAATAAATACTGAACACAACAAGAAAAGTCTTAAAATTATCTCTGGGCACATTGTTATGGCTGCATACGCAGATAGTAACAGATATGGTAAAACCATTGGCGCCAAGCACATGCAAAGAGAGATAGAGTAAGTGATTTCTGAACCTGTGCGAGGTCATGCAGGCTCTCTTATTTCTGGAGCTCTGTGAGGGCATGTAGGCGCTCTTATTCTCTTGACGATACTCACAATGCAGTGAGCTTGCTCAGACTGCCAATGGTGGATGGAATAGACCCACTCAGAGTGTTGCCGTAAAGATATCTGATGGTACAACAAATACAGGTTGATATGGGTGGAAAGGAATACGGAATAAAGCAAGAAAGCCTTACTAGTATTTATGGACAGATGATCAGGGCTGCATATGTAGATTTTTACAGATACAGTCGGACCATAGCTACTGAGCACATGCAAACGGTGTCATGGTGCAAAATATAGAAACAAATATACTCATTGGTGGGAGAGATCCGAGTGATATCACAGAAAGTGAATGTCTGACAAAACATGACATGCTGAAATGCGGTTGTGCTACAAGCTACCTACTCCAAACGCTGCCTGACTGTGTTGTGAGCACAGAACAAACAAGCTGCCGAACTTTGTCATTAACATTGTAGCACAATGCTGAAAGAAACAGCCACTACAAGAATTGAAAGCAAATGAAAATGATACGGGCTATTCTGAGCGTTACACAAGCATGCAACATGTACACACACAGTAGCAACAGATAAGGATAAAAAGTGGCTGTTAGTACTACAAAGTGCACAGTGTTAGTGGTGCTGCAAATGGATAGCACGATACGACTTAGTTGGATCTTATGCTTATGTTTCTCTACGTTTCCACTTTACAAAAATGAGATTTTTCTGGTCAGCTTATAAAAACCACTTGACTGCCATAGACTGCAGAATCTGTTCGGAGACACTGCATTTCACATGTGTATCACTCTAAACCCTGGTATCCAGAAGTAGATGGTGAAGCTCCTTGAAAGGATTAAGGTACACTAATGGAGATGGTGTTTTCCTTTCTAGTGCACTGATGATTAGGTTATGACGCCCGGAGAGCTACCCATGGCTGTCTATGATGGTGCCTTGGTTCTGAATGCCTTGCATGTGCTACACACCACCTTGTGTGCGTCTTCTCTTTCCCTCACACGTACCTTAAGGCCGTGCTCAGGAACGCGGGGGAACGTTAGGGAACTCCCAAAGAGAGAAAGCGGAAACCCATTCCAGAGCATATTGGCACTTCAAAGAACATGACTAAACATTTCAGAGCATATTGACATAAAACATGACTAAGCATAGGTTCACTTGCGACTATTGCCAGAATGGTTCGTCAAGGGTCAAACCGTGCCCTGATTTTTCACCAATCAGCATGCATTTGCAACAAACTGCTTGAACAAGCCTTGTCCACACTAAGCAGGTATATGCTAGGCAAACCATGCTGCTTCAAACCCGTGGCTTGTGAAAACCCCGTCGCTGCTGGACAAGGGCACATACCACAAGTTGTAGTTGAAGGAATGGACCAGAAGAGTCATCCAAGGCAAAGGTGAAATTTTTAATTAGAATCCCTTTATACTGACAAGTATGCAAGGCTTCTCAGGCTGCCGATGGTGGATGGAATAGACCCAGTCAATCTGTTATACACTAGAATTCTGATGGGATAAAAATGCAAGGGTTCCATCAAGGAAAAGAGAGAGACGGAATAAGTAGACCAGGGGAGAAAGAAGTGAAAATGGAGTTTGGAAAGGCCATGAGAGTTGAACACATAATCATGATAGTTTGCACAAAATCCTAACAGGCGGTGTTGGATTGGAAGTAGAAGATGTTATGCCTACATTGGAATGTCATATGAGGTACATGTTCCAATATGTGCCTTCTCCACGAGTGGCACAAACATGTTTGTTAAAATTCAAGGTACACAATTGTGTAAAGAACAGAATGAACAAGAATGGATAACAAGAGGTACCATAACATGAGTTGGATGGAAAAACGATGTGCTGGGATAGCCAAATGTTAACATCAAAACAACTAATATTAAATCAACAATCTGACAATCCTTCAAAATGTTTGTCCATGTGCACAAGAACAAGAATCTGGAAGCGTTGCCTGAGAGTCTCACAACATAGGGTTTCTCTAGATTTGAGGGTGTAACTACCGACATGTACACAAGTGAGAATCAATTGGTTTAGGGATAAGCAGGCATGATTCTGGATGCAAGAGCTACTTCAAAGCCGTTGGCCCAAATTGCACAAGTTTTAAAAGGTTGACGCGAGGGGGTTTTTCTGGACTGGGGTTTGGCGAAAGATTCCAAGTTTGTTTTGTTTTGTTTGTTTGTTTGACTTTTTTTTTTTTTTTTCGTATTTTTTGCCAAACCCAGCCTGCCCTTCTATCTTGCCCTGTGGGTTGGTTCAGTCCCAAAATTCTCAAATTGCAGGCGCGCTTTTCTTCAAACCTTGCAAACACTAGTTCGTCAA